GGGATTTTTCTTTTCTTTTTTAAAGATTGATTTATTGTGTATATAGTGTTCTGCTTGGATGTATGCCTGCATGCCAGAAGAGGGCACCAGATCTCATTATAGATGGTTGTAAGCCACCATGTGGTTGCTGGGAATTAAGCTTAGGACCCCTGGAAGAGCAGTCAGTGCTCTTAGCTTCTGAGCCATCTCTACAGCTACGCAGAGGGATTTTTCTTAATTAAAATTCCCTCTTCCCAGATATGTCTAGGTCTGTGTCAAAGTTGACAAAAACCAGGCAGTATACTATCTATCACTGAAAATTCAGGCCGGGAACTCAGCACAGGGAAGGAAACTGGGAATAAGAACCAAAGCAGACACCACCGAGGAATGCTAGTCTGCTAGTCCAGCCCATGAGTCTCGTCACGTCACTGTGAGTATTCCAACAAATTTTCAGTTTAAAATTTTTAACATGATTCTATAGCCAAAATGGCTGACAGATTTATTTTAGTTCCCATCAAAATTCCAAGTACATTCTTCACAAAATAGAGAAAATATATCCTAAAATTCACATGATAGCATAAAAGATCCTGAGCAGAAACAGCAAAGTTACCAGTATCACTGATTTTATATTATACTGCAGAGCCATAGTGGTAGTAGAAGTCAGTATGTTAGTGGCAAAAACAAACTCGTAGACAAGTAGAATACAATAGAAGGTCCAAAAATAAGCCCATTTAGCCATGTGATTAATCTCTCTCTCTCCCTCCCTCCGTGTGTGTGTGTGTGTGTGTACGCTATGATATACACATAGGAAGGTCAGAAGACAACTTTGTGAAGCTGGTTCTCTCCTTCTACCTATAGAAGGGCTCTGGGGTTTGAACCTAGGTCGCCTGGTTTGTATGGCAAAGCACTTTTACCTGCTGAGTCATCTTGCCTGCTCAGACACCTGATTTTTGACAAAGGTGCTCATAACACATACTAGAAAAGACAGCATCTTTTGGTGCTGGGAAGGGGACATCCACATGTAAGAAAATGAAAGTAGATCACTCTCTTGCCTTCAACAAAAATCAGCTCAAAACTGATCAAAAACTTCAATTTAAAACCTGGAAGTGTTATACTGCTAGAGAAAAGATCTAGGCACAGGCAAAAACTTTCTGAAAGACTCCCATAGTCCATGAAATGACAAGAATGACAGATGAACTTGCACAAAAATCAAAAGCTCCTGCACAGAAAAAAAAAAAAAACAAAAACAAAGTGAAGAGACAGCCTAGAGTGGAAAAAACTTTACCAACTGTACATCTGACAGGAGACTGGTATCTAGCATCTATAAAGAATTCAAATAAATAGATACCAAAAACCCCACCCCACACAAGTAATTCAACCATTAAATTAGCAAGTGAATTCAACAGACAGTTCTCAGAAGAATAAATACAGGGGAGGGTGAGATGGCTTGGCAGGTAAAGGTGCTTTCCATCAATCTGTGGAACCCAGATAGTAGGAGAGAGCCTAACACCTGCAGGTTATTCTGGCCTCCACATGCACATCAACGCCACAAGTGCATCCACAGACAAAACAAATACATGTAATAAAAAATACAAATAAATACATCAAAAATCTCAACATCCCTAGCTATCAAGGAAATTTGGATTTAAAATTACATCGACATATGTGGCTATCTAAACACACACACGCACACCCCATACATTGAGATTCTATCATCCAGAATAGTTAATATAATCAACAACCAAACAAAAATTGCTGGAGGTAATGTAAACTAGTGCAGCTACAATTGAAATCAATGTGGAAGTTCTTAAAAACTTAAAAATATAATGACCAATATCATGATCAAGCTAAGCCTCCCCTGGGTTTGTATCTGAAGGAATATCGTCAGCCTACAACAGAGAAACCTGTGCATCTGTGTTTATTGTAGCACTGTGCACTGCAGTCAAGATATGGTATTAGTTTAGATGTCCATCAACAGATGAATGGATAAAGGAAACGTGGTGAATAAATACAGCTGCAGTACTATTCAGCCACAGAGAAGCATGAAGTTATGTCCTTGGCAGGAAATTTGATAAAACTGGAGATTATCCTGTTAACAGGAAAAGGCTGAGGGATTATTGGAGCGGTGGTTCAGTGGTTAAGAACACTGGTTACTCTTGCAGATGGCCCACGTACATGTGGGCAAGCACTCACACACACAGAATATAAAGAAGGACTCAGAAACCCCTTTTCTCTAATATGTAGAATAAAGAAGGGAGGGAAGAAGGGAATGAGTGAGGAAGGGGTCGGGAGGAAATTTGTTTAGTGGAGAAGAGGGGCATGAGAAGGTAACGTGAGTATAATATATACACTATGGAAACACCATCATGAACCCCAGGGTTTCATATATAAAATCTTATAGAAATGTCCATGGTTTCTGGCGTTTTTTTGTCACCATTGTTACTGTTTCACAGGGCGTATTCCTATTTGTGTAGTCTGTTTTACAGCCTCTCTTGTTTGTGTGGGCCGCGTTCTCTTAAGTTCTCTGCCAGCGTTCCCCAGCTGTCTCGAGTGCAAGCTTGATTTGTTCCATGTTGTCCATTGCATTGCTGGCACTAGCCAGTGGGTGATCTCAGCCGTGCTTTGTCCTTATGCCAGAACTTCTCCAGAAGACTTTCCAAGTCTCTGTGGAGGAGAGCGCTAATGGACATTCCAGACTGCACAGGACATGGCCCGATGAAAGGGACTCAGAAAACTTGATCTGGGCCCTAAGAACCTGGGTAAAGGTTCTAGGTACCCACCATCTCCTCATACCACTGCCTCAGGCAGGCTTCAGGTCTCTGTGGATTTCAGTCTCTTCCATTAGGAACCCGGCCTCTAAAGTATTTTTAAATTTATTTTACGTGTATGAGTGTTTGGTTTACATAAACATCTGTGCACCATGTGTGTGTTTGATATCTACAGAGGTCAGAAGAGGGTTTCAGATCTCCTAGGACTGGGGTTACAGTTGCAAGTAGCTATGCTGAGTGTTGGGGTGGAAGCTGGGTCCTCAGGAAAACCAAGTCTGTGCTCTTAACCACTGAACCATCTCTTCAGGCCCTGGTCCATTTTTTTTTTTAAAAAAAATCCTTACCCACAGCTTCATTATCCATGCTCCTACATGCCTAGCTCATCCCTACTCTTTTGAAATGCACATATCTCCCAACCTTTCAACCTCCGCTCCTTAACTGGTACTACCTACTAAATACTCCTAGGCACAGGCCAGGGTGGGCCATGGAAGTAGAAATGGCACATGACCCTCTACAGCGTTTATTCCCGGGCACATTGCCTGGAAATATTTGAAATCCCCTCCACCAGCACAGGTCCCTGGGTAGCTCCAGAGGAAGAAAAAGGCAACATACTCCCCACCATTCCTATGTGGCTCTCACCATTGTCTGTATTGGGTATAAGTTAGCCTCTAATGCAGACACTTCCCAGAGGAGAGATGCTGGCCAACAGGACACTGGGCATGTGGTATTGAACGGGGTAGGCTGTGGATGGCAGCAAACACCGGGGTTTGAAATGTTGGTTTGCCATGGGAATGTGAGGGCAAAATATCTGAAGCCCACCTGCGAAGGATGATGACTCACAAGGCAGAGAGTGTACGGAAGAGTCAGGTAGGCACAGTAAAGGAAGTTGGAAACACTGGCTGTGAGTGACAGCTACAGGTTGCCCTGGCAAGATATTACAGGTAAGAGATCCAAGGCAGTTCAGCTTTGCCAGCTAGAGAAAGGGCACAGATGAAGACTGGAAATGCAAGGATGCGGTGAAAGTGTGCTCCTCTGTACCTCTAATGGCATGCAGAGCCACGGCAGATTGAGATTAAGGATGGCATTCTAGGTAGGCACCGCTCCATGACTGTAACTGCTGGGAGTAATTTCTGACTTTGTACAGATATAAGGCGTGTCCGGAGGGCACTGTGGGTACAGTGGGGGCACCCAGAACTGGAATCCACGCTCTGGGAGACCACAAAGTGTCAACTTGTATTGTCAATGAGAAGCCCAGGTGAGTTTGTGGTGGCAGGCCTGAAAGCAGTCTTAGCAGGAACGAGCTGAAAGCAATTCTGCCATTGAGGAGGGCTGTGCGGACATCTTCAGGTTGGCCCTCTGGATGTTGGCACCTCGGCCAGAGAGCAAAGCTGAGTGGCATATCCAGGACTCTTGGTTAAAATCAGATGCCCCCCACCAAGCCTCCCATTATGTTTTACATCTAAAAGCGCCTCCTGCCCCCCAATCCAGGCTCAGATCTGGAACACCAGACCATCAGTTTATGGCGCTACTTTGAAGACTATGGAACCTCTAGGAGCTGGGGTGTGGCTGGTGGAAATAGGTCCCTAGGGGCTTGTCTTCGAGTTATATTTGCCTGGACTGCTGTCTCTGCTGTGTAAAACTGAGGAATCTCAACAAGTCCCCACTGCCAAGCTTCTCTCGCCGCCATTCCTTCCCTGCCACTAAGGCTAAGAAACAGCTAAAGCAAATCATTGCTTCTGCCACGGTTACAGCAATGAGAACAGCAGCACCTTTCTTCTGTAAGGTGTCACTGCTGCTGTCCCCTCTGCTGGTCGTGAGGGACGGCTCTCATTCTTGAATGGGATAGAGCCTCAGGCAGTAGAGCCGGCTAACCCTGCAGCTTGCCAGGCTAGCGTTCAGTCTCAGCATTCCCAACCAATCCCCGTCACTCACATCTCCCTTGCACTCTGACTGTGGGGGTCTGGGTGCCCCAGTGCCAAAAGGCAGAGGTGTGGTCAGAGTCACCGAGGTGAAAGTCCAGAACGAAGGAGACAAACAGCCTCTTTAGGGTCCTGAAGAGGTCATGCTCAGTTAAGGTCTGATTGAGGGGCTGAGAACAAGGGGCCACCTGCTGCTCCCCATTTTGGTCTCTAGGGTAGGTCTATGGGGACAGGCTATGACCATAACTCCTGTGACCAGTTCTCATCTCTTTTGGCCCTACCATGGCAGCTGGGTAGGTGCAAAGGACAGGGTAGTGACAAACAGGAAGGAAGGTCAGGTCTGCAAAGTAGAGATTTAATGGGACAGTCACCGTGGTTCCTGCTGCAGTGGTCCCAGGCTGAAGCCCACAGCCTGGTGCCTCTCGGAGCAGGCAGGCACAGAGAGCACCAATGGTACCCAGGTAGCCACATGGACAGGCCATTCCCTGTACCTCTGGGGCCTGGACTCCAGGTGCAGAGACGGAGACCTGCTTGAGAGGTCCATCCTCTCCTTCTGTTCCCTGCCCCTGCACTGATGGAATGCCTGTGTCCTTGCCCCTCTGTCCACTGTCCCTCAAACAAGTCAAGCCCAGAGGCCAGACACAGGGCTCTGCAGGAAAGCACACTTCCAGGACCATGCATCCTGGGTCTCTGGCATGTGTAAGGCACATTGTGGTTGTTGCTGTGGGACTGCTGGGGTCACTGTCCCCAGGGCAGTGTTCAGAAGATGCTGGCTTCCAGGGTGAGGCATGGCTGTCAGTGTTGAGACAGGAGGCATGGTGGGTATGGGCCAGCCCTGGGACCCGCAGTGCAAGAGAGCAGGGACAGGGTGGGCCCTGGTCCATAGGCCTCAATGGACACAAGATCCTTTTCCCAAGCCTCCGGCCTGGAGCCAGTAGGAGGGGATTATGGTCCTGGGCAGAGCTCGTGGCCAGAGCCAAGGCGCAGTCATGGCGGCCCAGACCACAGAAGGCACAATCGTGGTGTCTGGGAGGTTGAGGGTCTGTCACCAAGGCTAGGCAGACACATTGACGTCCCTGAGAGAGATGGTGCTACTGGGGGCCTCGTCCCCGAGTAGCAGGGCTGGCGAGTCTGGGTTCGTGTCTGCCTCGGCACTGCCCAACTCTGTGCTGGTCTCTGCACTGGGCTCGGCACTGGGGCCTAGTCCCTGGGACAGGATCTGCTGGATGGTTCTGCGTAAGTTGGGATGTAGCCGGCCCTGTGTCTGGTAGAAGACCTCTAGTGCGAAGGACTTGAGGGCACCGGTGCAGAGGTCCTCGTACAGGGGGATGGTGTACATGCGCGACATCTGTGGAAAGCATCTGGTCACACTAGCAGGCTCCCTGTGCGCCTTCCGCCACCCAGATCCAGATGTGCCCCAGCTGCTTGGGAAGACTTTGGCCCGGACTCACATGCTACAATGCCCTCATCAGTCTCACCCTCACCTCTCCCTCTAGGCTGTCGGAGAGTTTGGGGTGGAAGGACTGGGCAAGGAATAGGGATGCTGGCATCTGGCCGAGAAGCTTGGCTGGCCCCTGTACCCAGATGTGGAAAGTGATGCCTGCAGGCTTTAAGTCCAACTAGTTCAAGGCTGATGCTACTGGAGACTCCTGGACTCTGGTACCCAACTTTTCCCCGTGGTGGAGTTTAGGCCACTCTGAACTGGTTTTGCATTTTTCTCCCGTCTCACCTGTACTGTGGCCTCTCTGCTCTAACTTTTGGGTCTGTTGGCTTCCAGTCCTCTCTCCAGGACATGCCTGGTCTGCTCGAGTGGCCTGAACTCCACTCTGATGGGGTGAGATAGGCTGAGATGGGCCCCTGAGGAGAGGCTGTCCCCCTCCCCCCGTCATGTCCCGGGCATGTAGCTGCACCTGGTTCTCCAGAAAACGGCGGACCCTGTGGAGATCAGGATAGTAGTCATTGCGGACAACGATCTGCAGCCAGCGGATGCGGATCTCAGCATTCATGGAGTCCAGCAGGGATGAGTAGCATTTGGACAGGCTCATCACCACCTCTGTGGGGTGGTGGGCAGGTCAGGGATGGGCCGAAGCCACATCCCTTCCCCAGGCTACCCTGTTGACTGTGGGACCCACCCTGGGGCAACGGGGATCCATCTAGCAGTCGGTCCAGGAAGAGTGCTGTCTGGAAGGTCCTCCACTTGGAGATGTCAATGGCGCTGGCTGAAGCTGTTGCTTGCTCCAGAGGCTCTGCAGTCCACAGCTGGAAGAGGGCCTCTACAGGCCTGGTTAGGCTGGACCCCTGAGACAGGTCTGGCTCAGCCAGTGGTGGGCCTGTGGCGTTGAGCCAGCGCTCGAACTCCAGCCCTGCAGGAAGACCAGGCCTAGGGTCCCTGCCTGGGCTGGGGAAGGGGCCACTGGAGCAGCCTGCCAGGGAGACTCCAAGCCCAGAGGGTACCCCTGGCCAGGTGGTCTCTTCTAGGACCCAGAGCCCTCGAAGAATATAAAAGTTTCCCAGAAGTTTGAGCTTTCCTTTTAGAGCCTGTAGGGGGCTCCTATGTAGGACACAGGGAGGTCAGGAAGCTCGGGCTGGTCACCAGAGGATTCTCTACCTGCTACAAGCCTGTCCTGTATCCAGCACTGAGGCCAAGGAGGCTCTGCTCTGCTCTGTACCATTCAGAAAAGCACACGGACTTGGAGGACCCCTACCAATCCCACTGTGCACTTATATACCTTCCAAACTTGGGGTCACCATTCCTAGACCTTGAAATCCTCTAGCAAACTTTAATTTCTCTCTGGATATCCAGTTCCTCCAGTGTCTCCTTTGGTCCTCAGGCCCCCAGGAGACCCCTACTATGCATAGACAGGGTCCCAGAGCCAATCCCACCACCTTGCTGATCCCCCTCTAGGGACTCGGCTGGCTCTTTCTATAACCTTTTCCTGCTGGCTGCTTAGCTTGGACAGGAAGCCCCTGCCCCCCATCTCCTTGCCATGGTCCTTTAGATTAGAAGGTACAGACTCCCCTTTACTCTCAGGGCATCCCGACCTAGAGCCTACACAGTGCAGTCGGGGTTGACAAGCTTTCCTCCAGTCACAGCTACCATCTCGTTCCCGGCCCTTGTGCCCGTAGCGGGGTAGGTGGCCTCACCTGCCCGGCAGTCCACACTCTGCTCCTTCAGTTCGGGAAAGAAGCTCAAGAAAGAATCCAGCAGGTCCTGGGCCACCACGCTGGTGAATTTGTATTTCTCCACGTAGGCCTGTGAGATGAGGGACATGGCCTTAGCAGGTATGGGAGGCTGGGGTGTTTAGCTCTGGCAGAGCGGGGCTGGCACACTGAGACATCTTCTACAGATGTGCGTCCCAGCCCAGGTGGCCCGTAGGCCCTGCCAAAAGGGTAGGAGAAGGAGGGGACAGTGCCTCAGAAGGCCAAGTCCCTTCTCCCCAGAGAAGGGGCAAGTCTGCCAGCTGGGAGAAGTTGTGGACAAGAGTGGGCAGGGCCCATGCGCTTACTCGGAGAAAGTCATCAAAGCGCTGGGGATCTCCACAGAGCTGGGACAGGTAGTATACGAAACAGTAGCCCTTCTCATAGGTGAACAGGTTCATCAGGTGGCTGGGGTTCACTCCTGCAGGGAAACACCTTATCTGGGATGCCACTTGACACCTGTGTCCTTCATGTGGGACTGGGGCGGTAGTGTAGAACTGAGGAGTGGGCAAGGGGGAGGGCCACGGTCCCCTATATGAGTACCAGCATCCTGGGTATACAGTGGTGGGACTTGCTCTGCCCCATAGCAATCGGTGCTCAGACACTGTGGGGTTGTGGCAAGCCTAGGGCCCCTGAGAGGTTTTCCCTGGGGCTAAGAACACCCAGCCTGACCTTGGAAGGAATTCAGGTATGGTGATGTCGAGGGGCCCCAGCAGGGCAAGTGGACAGCAGGAAAGGAGGGCCTGTGGATGCCATGCATGGGTTCCCAGGAGGGAGCCTGGAGTAGAGAGTACCTGGTTCTAGCTTGACCTGCAACTTGCTAACTGGACTATCCTCCCCAAGAAGCCGCATCTGCCTATGCAGGGCGTCCAGGCGAAAGGCTGTCTCTAGGCAGGTGAAAGCAGCCCCTGAGTGAAGTCAGAGTAGAGAGAAGGTGGAGGTCAGGGAGGTGGGAGCATCTACAGCAGGGTTGTCACACTCTACCCACCACCAGTCCCAGAGACCGTTAGACCCTGTCAAGCTGGAGGCTAGGCAGGGCTCTGTGCCCCTTACAGTTGGTACCTAAGAGGGCCCAACGCTAGTCCACCCGTGCCATGGCTGCCCCAGACAATACCATAGGTCTCTGTGGTGATGCGGCGCTGTGCATAGGTGGCCAGGCCCTCACTCAGCCACATCTCCTCCCAAGTGGCATTGGTGACAGCATTGCCGAACCAGCTGTGGGCCACCTCGTGGATGACATCAATCACCAGGAACTCATCACTCTCGAGGATGGAGGAGATGATAAAGGTGAGGCACGGATTCTCCATGGCAACGATGGGGAAGGAGGGTGGCAGGAAAACGATGTCATATCTGTGCCCATGGTTGCAGGGTGAGGAAAGGAAGGGCTCTGACCACAACTCACTAAGCCCACAACCATACTCTCCACCTGGGATGGCAGCCCAGCCCCACAGTATCAATTCCTTCGCAGTAGACAGAAGACAGGCAACCCGGGGTCAGACAAGGAGTTCCCAGCCTAGTTCCCCGAGGGAAAGAGTAAAGCCAGTGGGAAAGCCAGGGGACAGGACATACCTGCCCCACATGTAAGGCCCGTATAGTCGCTCTGCGGCACTCAGCCACTGTTCCACAACACCCGATAGCTTGCTGGTGGCTGTGGGCAGGAGGCATGGCTCAGCCCACACACGGCTCCTGTCACAAAGCAGAGAAGGTAGGCTGAGGCAGACAAGCCTGGACCTTAGTTACCCCACTGGATCCTCCCTCTGCCTTGTCTGGCCCTGCTCCCTGGATGTAACCCTTGCCACAATAGTAGGGGAACCGCATAATAAACCCAAGATTTACTCAGATCCTTTTGCCAATGCACTGAAGGAACTGGTAAGGCAAAGAGGGTGCAGCTGGTTGTGTGGTACCCCTGGGAGTGATGGCAGACTGCTAGGCAGGGTACTGGATGCATCAGTTGATTGTATGTCTGAACACAGCGGGTGAAGGGGCATGGTAGTCATGTGCATGGGCTCTAGGCTCTTCCTGAGGTCCAGCTGCCTAGGACAGTGCAGCAAGACGCAGAGGGGGCCTTACCTGGGCCCAATGTCTGCTGGCTTGAGGTCTCCGGCCACAAGAGCCACGAGGTAGGCAGGTACAGGATGCTCCATGTGGAAGTGGTAGACGCCTTCCTCCTCCACGTACACGCTCCGCGTCGCACTCATCAGCACCTGTACCCCTAACGGGGCCTGCAATGGGCTAGGCTGAGGATTGGCACCTACAGGACACAACCACCTCCCGGGAAAGGGAACCACACTTTGGAAGGATGACTCATCAGACAGCTCAAGTCAGAGGACCCCGTGTCTGTGACAGGGAACCTTACGGCCCCATCAGGGAGCCCTCCATCAACCAGAAGGCACCACCACAATCCAGGCTGGGGAACCCCATATCCATGAGGAAGCCCTCAAATCCTAATCAGATAGCCTCACAGGAACTGTGTTCCCTTCAGAAGACCACACATTGGAACCCCAAATCTGCTCAGTTCAAAGTTACCACGCGTTGGCTCTAACTCAAGAATGCCCATCAGGTTCCTGTGGATCCAGAGGTCCTGGAACCCAACTGTCAAGTATGTCCTCATTGGCGCTGTACCGTGGTCCCTGCACCTGACCTCCATAAGGCCTGACTTTGGCTTCTCTGCATGACTGTCCCGCTAAGACAATGACCTTTAGCAGCTGGGGTCCTAGTGTAGGCAGGCAAGAAGAGTGCAAGGAGGTGGGCCAGAACTCATCGGCAGGCTTGCTGTAAGCTCCAGCCGCTTACAATGCCCAAAGGAGGCAGAAACAACCCCAGCCGCGATTCTGACCTTGACAACGGCTGAGTAGGTGCACTTGACGGCGGGCGTATCGAAGCACGGGAAGAAGGAGCGGTTGCACACAGAGTGGCCCTGGGTGAAGACGAAAGGCTTGGCATTGCCATAGGTCAGCTCTGGGTCCAGCCACCAGATCTGCGGGCGAGGCGAAACATCAGCACACGCTGTCACCTGGTCCAGGGCTCTCGCTGTTTTCGCCACAGGTCCACAGCTGCTCCTGCAGCCTTCACCTGCCTGCCTGGCACACTCACTCCCCTCCCCTGGCAGGAACTGTCAACCCAGTTTGTGTGTGCCAGACACACCAAGCAGCCTTGTTCCAGACAGGAGGCCACATGTCTGGAGCTGGCCCACGGTATCTCCCAGCACTGCCTGAGAAAAGAGGACAATGCCCACCGTGGTATTAGCTGAACTTCCAAAGGGGGACTGAGGAACAGTCAGAACGCCTGGGTTCAAATTCCCATAGGCTGGTAGCTAATCTGATCTTAGGAACAGGGAAACATGCTTCCTTACACTGGCATAGAGGGGTCAGCCCCCGTGCTGGCCAACCTGTGTGGCCAGAGAGGAGGCTAGATATGAAGCTCTAATATGACAGGAGTGTTAAGAGGAAGGCCTCCGAGGTCAGTGCCCAGGGAGAGGGCTGCGGCAAAGAGCAATTCCCAGTAACTGCTGCCACCCGCTCTCACCGTCAAGGTCCCTGGCCTAGCCAACCTCCTTCCCAACCATGCCTGTTGAGACATTCTGAATCCTCAGATGTCCAGACCAGGTCCTGCCCCCACTGAGGAGTTCCAGCTACAAAGCAGTTTCTGCCCTACACTACCCTCTGCAAGGACAGCAGGAATGTTGAAACAAAGTGCATTTTTCATTTTGGTGATCAAGGGCATATGGGTCCTCTCAGGAATCACAGATAGGAAACACCCCCAACACTTCTCCACGAGTGGACAAGTATTCAGCCTGACTGTCATTACGGGGAACAGAACCAAGAGTCAGCAGGGCTAACAGCTCCCAGACCCCAGATGAGGAATGGTGGTGGGGCTGCTTGTTTTGCAGACCTTGTGTGTGGGGGAGTCATTCATCCCAGACCCAGAATGAAATGCCTGCTTTCAGACCCCACGGTTGTGTGGAATGCCTGTCCCCACAGACCCCAAGCGGGGAGCCTTGATTGCCTACAGACTCTAAAGCTGGGGATGAAGGTAAGTGCTTGCCCACAGACCCCAGACTGGGGGTGGTGGCAGTGGAAACTATGCCACAGACCCTAGGATCTGGGGTACTGTCTTCATATAGACCTTAGATGTGTCTTTCCCAAAGACCCAAGAATTGGGGAGTAATGCCTTGCCCTGCAGACCCAGGAGTATGCCTAATCCACAGAATCCCAGACCTGGGAGATCCCTGTCCCAACAGATCTAGAGACGGATGCCCGCCCCCACAGACTCAACACTCAGGAGGCTTCCTGTCAGAGTGGGTTGCTTGCTATGTAGTCAGGCCTCTGCCAGCATTTATAGACTTCTTCCAAAGTCTTTCTGTCTGCCCGATCACTGTCTTCTCCCCACAGCAAATTTCCAGATGTGTCTTCCTTTTCTGCTGGGGAATTAGTTCCAAAATGTAGCCTCCAGAGGCCTGGGACCCAGGGACCTGGATGCAGGATTGTCCCTGCAGTGGATCCTGTTGAGAGCAGGTTCTTGATCCACTTTTGGAGGACACACTCCCAAATGCTCTTCAATCTCTACCTTCTCCCCTTATACCAGCTACACTTCAGGGGCAGTACAACCCGCTCCTCTTCCACGGAACCCCCAGGCTCTGCCGACCTCTCATCCTATGTAGTGGGCAGGCTGCCTTTCCCAGATACCAGAGGGATGGGATAAACTGGGCCCAGCACCAAAGGTGGAATGCTCCTGTCCCAGAGCACAGCAGCTGATTGATGGATAAGGGATGGGTCAACCAACTCAGGTGCTGAAAAAACAGCTGTTTTTCTAGGGGTAGGAAAGAAGGGCTGGGGTGCAGAGGAGCCCTAGAATCTGCAACACCTCCAGTCTGCCGCCCCTGGAGTAGGGTCTCCTGCTACACCCTCACTAGGCACGGGGAAGGCAGGGATGTAAGCCCTGAGCCGCTTAATGCTCAGGTGCAACAAACAGTAGGCGCCTGAGGTTAGGAGCCAATCTGCTTCCATGGGTGTGGGTCAGCTTTGTCACTCTGGAGCCCCTGGTCCATGAGGACCATGCAGCGGGTCCCTGTCTGGAGCAACATCAGGCCATCTTTGTCCTCTAGCCTTGTCTACTGCAGCCCAATGAGGGCTCCGCTCCCACCTCTTCGCTGTCAATGGGCAGAGCAAGCACATATGGTACATATTCACAGGTAGAAGCCAGGAAGCAGCCTGCCCCTCAGTTTTCATCGGACATGCTAAGAAGCAGTCCCAGTACCTGCAGAGGCCCCACACAACCACAGCAGACAGAGGGCGAAGCCCTGCAGACCAGGTGCCAGCATGTGGCAGGAACTCTGGGAAGAGGTGGCACGTGCCAATCAAAACTCCCAAAAAGGGTGCAGGAAGCCCACAGATGTGAATCCCATCTGGTCTTTTGCTGCTCAGAGGTCACCTTGTTCCTTTGCGGTCACTGGACTGTTTATTCGTGCTCCCCAGGTAGTGGCAGATGGACTTTCCAAGAGCTGCCTGCGTGCTATGTAGCCATGGCAGATGTCACATGAGCGCTCTACTGCCTGGGGAGCTGGAGGGAGGCATCGTGCCTCTGGAGTCCAAGGTCCTGCTCCAGTCTGCAAACCCACTGGCTGTGCTGTCACAGCCCTTGCCTGACACCCTTTGCTTTCCCATCAGGGCCTGCGGGATGGTGGGCGCCCTGTACAGAAAGCCTCGGTAGAGCCCTGTGTGTCTACTGGGAGGTGGGGCACACCTGCCCCAGCATGTCACAACCCAGCTCGGGGAGCCCAAAGCCCAAGCACCACAGGCTACAAAGGAAGGCCTCTGTGCCACCTACTGTCTCTCATTCCACCTGCAGAGAACAGAGTTGGGTGTCCTCGAGCTGTCTGAAGGGCCAGGTCATAGGCTGACCCTTCTGTAGCAGACACTCCCAAAAGATCCCTCAGTACTGGAATCTTACTGCTGGCTTAGCAGGGGCCCACCAGAAAGCTGCTCTTGTACCCAGATTGGGGCGTAAACACACACACACACACACACACACACACACACACACACACACACACA